CGGCCCCCCGACAATGGACCCCAATGCGTGGCGGATCTCCTCAACGGCGCTGAGACCCTCCTTGCGTGGCCCGCCCAAGTCCTCCTGGTAATCGGGGAACTTCTCCCGCGCCAAACACAAAGGCTTCGGGGGGTCGCATCGTCGGTCTCACCGCTATGCTCGGGCGTGTTTGGAGCAAAGCTCGGGGGCCCTGGGCCCAGCGCTGGACTGCCACCTCGACGCCGTCATGGGATGCAGCGGTCAAGGGGGCCATGTCCCTCCAGGAGGATTTCAGGAGGTTGCTCGATGACGAGACGTCGGCGGTCCTCGCGATTCCCTACGCCCACAGTCTTCTGGATCTTGAGCAGCACTACGACATTACGTTTTGGCTCAAACCGGTCAGAGCAGCAATCCGTTTGGAATTCCCACCGACGGAGCTCTTCCTCGATTCTTCAGCGTGCATACCCCAGGGCGCTCAGTCAGATCCGGGGCGTTGTCGGAACCGATTGCCGTCGCCAGGCCCATCATCCAGGGCCTCAGATGCGGCGCCAGCTATGCACGTATAATGACGCACTAAGTGACGCAGCAGCTGTGCATCGCCCACCCTCGCCACAGTCATCGGCTGTGGTTGGGCGATCTTCCTCAGTCCATGAAAGGACCGCAGCGCCGACACCATCGCAACATGGTCGCTTGCGTGGCTGGCGCCGCCAGGGCGCTGACCGAGCAGGACCTCGGCGCAGCGCATCGCCCGCGCGCTTGGCGCAGAGGCGTGCAGATCACTGCTGCTCGCTCCGGCATTTACTGGGGCGTCGACCTAGGCGGTGGCAGGGCGCACGCTCGAGCTCGGCGACTGAAGAGGGCCATGAAGCACACTGCTCGCCGCGGCAAGGTCAGGCGCTTCGGGCGTGCACTGCGCGAGGCCAAGTTGACCGCCCGCCTCGAGACGGTCAATATCTCGCGACTCATCGCCGCAAACTGTGAGCCGCGTGCGCGGTTCGAACCAGAGGGAGGTGCTTGACCACCCTCCTCGATATCATGCTTCCTGGCAAGGGCCCAGCGATGCGCGCGGCATATGACACTTTCGCTCTTTGGCCTCAGCAGTGGCGTGATCGCCTTAGTTTGAGGCCAGTTGTGGTTCAGGCCTGGCCCAAGGCAGTCAACGTCTTGGAACCCATGGAGCCAGGCCGACTCCCGCGCCATATTCTGGGGCCGACGACTGCGATTATCACCTACCTATTGTCTTTCGGATGGCAGCCCCGAGGTCCTACCGATTGGGCGCTGCCGATGTCAGATCATGACTGGTCATCTCCAGATGGGGGTTTCACTGGCAACATACACATGGACACACTCGACGAGCTTCTGAGGGATGTCGATCAGGCAACCACGGCGTCGCATCGGGCTAGCGCTGCCAAACATTTCGACGGTGAAGGGCTTCAGACGGGTGCCGACAACAACGCACTGAGGAGATGGCTGGATCAATTTCGCTCGGTCAAGGCAGGTGGGGCCCGCATTGCCGGCACGCTTCTCGCGATTGCAATTGGAGGCACATGGCCTCGCAAGCGGAAGGATAGCACCCGTGCGTCGGCAGGTCTCTTGTGTCCTCGCTGTGGTGAGGCCGAGGAAGATTCTCTACATCGCAGCTGGATTTGCCGATGCAGCGCGGGTTTTCCGATTCTCACGGCCAGCGACCATCTCATTCCAGCGGCTGTCGCCCAACGCTCACAGTCCGAGCGCTTCTGGTTCAGAGGCATCATTCCGAGCCCCTGGACGTGGATGCCCGATCCGATTCTGGAAGACGATGGGAAATTTTTCGGCCTCCGCACGCCTGCTCCGTGCCAGGGCTGCATGGGGGGCCCCGGCGAAGTCACGGTGGTGTTCGGCGACGCAAGTGGAGGCGCCGACACTGCCGACCCTCGTCTTCGGAGGGTAGCGCTGGGCATCACCACCTTGAGTCCATGCGCCCCGCCAGTTGCTTCGGCTTCCGCCACTGGAGGCTCGACAGGTTTTCGACCGGCTGTTCCGCGAGGCGAACTTCGAGCATGTTGGCTGGCTCTTTGGACGTGCCAGGGGCCATGTCATTGCATTACAGACTGCGGATCGGTTTACAAGGGATGGCTTGCCAAGAGATATCTTCACCCCAGCGGAAGTGATGCAGATCAATGGGCCCACATTCAAGTCTTGATGAGCCAACGTGCTGAGAGCACCATTATCGTGGAACTTATTCATTCTAACATGTGTGCCGATGGCATTGCTCACGGCGTAGCCCCTCGGTGGGAAGTGATAGGCAATGTTGTGATAGATGAGCTTGTCGGCAGCAGGGCCGAGCGGATTCGTGTACCTGCAGCGGGACGTCACGCGCTGCAGAAGATAGAGCACCAGGCATTCCCGTAGCGGCACAGAGCGGCCCTCGCGACCCTGACGGCCTTGAACGCAGAGGCCAAGCTGGAAGCGGCGCGGCGTGTTGAGGATCAGCAGAGAAGCAGGCGGCAGGATAGTGAGTCTCCTCTTCCTCCCCCATCCCCCTCCATGCGCGCCTCCGCCAGCTCCCCGCATCGTCTCGGCTTTGTGGACTTCCCATGTGTTGGACGACAGTGAGCGGAGATGCAAGCAGTGTTTGGGGCCTGCTTCCTGTGGTACTCTCGAGAACTGGAAACGAACCCCGTGTTATCTGCCCCAGAATATCAACGGGGATTGTTTTCATTCCTCCTGGAGGGAAACTTCATGTTGCTGGGGACTGGGTGCACGAAACACATCTTGAAACTCAGTGCGAAGTTCGGTTCCTAGTACTGCGCAAGCTGTGGTGTCTTGGCAAGCCAGCTGAATTGTAAGCTCCGTTAATTGGTTTTCTTGAAAGGCCACCCCCACTGCGGAGGAGCTTTTCAAGAGGATCGATCGAGGCCAGCAGCGGGAGGCCCAAGGCTGTTTCAAGAAGAAGGCTCGACAGGAGCCCGGCTTCGATCCCCTCCCTCTTGAGTAAGGCCGATTTTCATTTAGTGAACAGACATTATCATTATCATTATCCTCCTCCTCCTTCCCCCCCTCCTCCTCCTCTTCCTCCTCCTCCTCCTCCTCCTGCTCCTCCTCCTCCTCCTCCTTCTCCTCCTCCTCCTCCTCCTCCTCCTCCTTCGTTCCCCCTCCCATGGCAGTGCCGTGCGCGGGGGTGGCGCGTCACGGGCCTAGCGTGGAAGTGCCACCCACCCTGGGGGGCCCAGGGGGGTGATTGGCCAACGGGGGTTCGTGTTTCCTGGCGTGCGCGCGCGAGGTCGCACTCGCCAGGGGCGCCCCGAACCCCCCCTTTCAACAGAGCTTCTAGCGTTGAGCCGGGCGTGTCCCTCCACAGGGGGAGCATTCGAAACCAATATGAAAATAACACGGGGACGGCTTTTCTACTGTAGTTAAACATGTTTTTGCTAGTTTCTATTCGTCCCAACCCTCCTGCGTTGGGTTCTCATTTTGAATAGAGCAGTGTGGTCGCATCCTTCTTCCCGCGCGCCCCCTCTCTCCTTCTCTCCTGCCTCTCACTTCGCTCCTTCACGCAGATCCAGATTAGACCTCGCCGGTCCTGGGGGGCTGCGATTTGCGGAGCTGTCGCCAGTTTCGATGGCTGCTGGGGGGGGCCAGCGGAGTGAGGGCCCATGCAGATTCAGACTAGAACTCGTCATCCCTTGGGGGCTGCGATCTGCGAAACTGTTGCCACTTTCGAGGGCTGCTGGGGGGGGCGGCGGAATGGGGTCCCACGCAGATTCAGATTAGACCTCGTCATCCTTGGTGGGACTGCGATTTGAGAAATTGTCGCCAGTTTCGATGGCTGCGGGGGGGGGCAGCGGAGTGGGGTCCCACGCAGATTCAGATTAGACGTCGTCATCCTTGGGGGGCTGCGATTTGCGGAACTGTCGCAATTTTCTTGGGCTGCTGGGGGGTGAAGCGGCGTGACATTTTACGCGGACCACCAGGAGACCTCGCCATCCTTGGGGTCCAGTGGGGTCACGCCTTTTGTTGTTACCTGGGGGGGGTGCTTCGATTGCTGGGGTCGTCACGCAAAAAACAGAGAAGCTGGCGGGCGAGCTGGGCCCCGCTCGCTTCTTGCACTACATATAAGCCGGTTTAATCATTGTTTCGAGCGCCGCGGCAACATTGCGCAGGCAGCGCTGCATCTTTACTGTACTACCGACAAAAGCAACACTATTCGGTCTCCTCCCGTCACTTTCGTCGTCGTCCTCTGCCCTCTGCCACCTTCCCTCTGCTGCTGCCGCGCTGACGGTTAGGCGCCCCACGGGTCCTTTTCTTGCCCTTCGTTCCCGCCCCCATGTCCTCCTCAAGCCTGGGCCCTCGTTCCTCGTCCTTCTGCTGTTGTCCTGTGAATCGTGCCACGTGAGCCCGTGTAGCTTGCACAGCATATTACGGCGCCTGCACTGTCATTGCCACGGCAAGTTTGGACCAACTCCTCTCGTCACTTGAGGCAAATGGGTTGGGTACGTCACAGGGTAATTCGTCAAAAAATCGCCTGTAGGGGGACATGCGCGACCTAACTCTAGCGCCCTGCCCCCACCCCTCCCCCGCGCGCGCTAGACTGGGGCCCATCGAGGCCTCGACCCCTTGCGGCTAGCTTCTCATCGCGGGTCGTTTCCCGATCGTCCCAGGGCCCGGCGAGGCCCCCCAGAGGCCCCGAAAACCATCCGAAGAGACCTGGGCGCGCGGTTTGAGACCATCCTCGGGGGCGGGCACCCCGGGCGTCAGCACGGCGGCGCCGAAGAGAAAGTCATCCGTGAGGGGGCGCGCGATCGACGGCCCCCCTGCAGCAGGCGCATCAGCTAAGGGATTGGCCTGCCAGCGAGTGCCCCACCACACGTCTTGCCCCCCACTGGCCCCAGAGGGAGCCATGGCAGCCTCGGGGCATCGCAGGCCCTTCAAAGTCCGACGACGAGTGTGTTCCAAGATGTTGTGTAGGAAGATGTCGTATCGTATGCGTCCACCGTTGTCTTCCTCTTCGCCCTCCCTTCCTCCCCCATCCTCCTGTCCAGGTCTGGCGGCTGCAGGAGGATCTCACGACCCAGCCCGGAGGGTGGGTCGCGCAATTCGCGCGGCAAGCCTGCTGGGATTCCAGGGATGCCGGCGGCAAGGCCAAGGACGCCGAGTGCGTGGTCGCGCCCTTAGAGGAGGAGTTCGGTGATCACCTCTTCCACCTCCTCCTCCTCCTCCTCCTCCTCCTCCTCCTCCTCCTCCTCCTCCTCTTCCTCCTCCTCCTCCTCCTCCTCCTCCTCCTCCTCCTCCTCCTCCTCCTCCTCTTCTCGAAGGCAGCTCCTGGAAACCAGGTGCCTGGGCAGACAGACAGACAGACAGAGGCCTGGTCAAACCACATGGGTTGGCCCGAAAACGGGCGTGGCTACAGCACAGTGGCCTGAACAAGCACGCGCGCAACGGAGAGCAAACGTTGTGCCTCCGAGGGGGAGGGAGGGGAGGGAGGAGAAGAGCGGGGGCGGTCCTCAAGCGTGAATGCAATACTCGACGAATGCGTCTTCATCACGTTCATGTACAATTTCATACCAGCGAGATACAGTATGCAAAACATTACGGGCAAATCCTTGAAGGCGGTCCTCCCATCTCGTCAGAGGGCGTCCGCGCGCCCTCGTAGCCCCATGCGTATAGCGCGGGCTCCACAACATGACTTTCCGGGCCCATTCACTGTCCGAAGATGATGACTGGCACGCAAGTCTAAACAAGCGGCGACAGGATAGTTCGCTCCATTTTTCAATCGGAAAAGTATGCAGTGCATGGGCAGTCCTGTCCCGCATTCGTCTCATGGAGTCTACCCAATCCTCGCCCTCGCAACGCCTCCAACCAACAGTCAAACGTAGCATCTTGTTTTGAAGGACGTCCAAATATTGTATTTGATGCTTGGTCAGAGCTGCGGCCGATAATCCGAACAATAGTGTGGGTGTATTGGCAGATTGGAAAAGCTTCAGTCGCAGTCTTAAAGAAATGGTCTGGTCTGTAAGGGACATGATGGTGTTTGTGATATGTGTGTTAAGCTTGTTGGAATTTGCACTTTAATTTGATATTGTTGTGATGTTTTAATTCGCCGGTCTATTTTTACCCAAATGTTTGTGAACATCATTGCCAACCATGACTTTGAGTATTTGCTCGCCCACCTCAATGAACAAAGTTTCCATCTCCTCCTCCGTGGTGAGAATATCTGTCTTCTCTGGATTCAGATGAAGACCGACTGCGTCAAGCTCCTCAGTCAGCAATTCCATCATGGCGGCCAACTCGTCGGCAGAACTCGCGTATAACATGATGGCATCGGCATACCGTATGTTCGTGAGTTTACTGCCCGCTCCGATGAATAACCGCGTGACCTGTGCGGGTTTTCCATCTCTCCATTGCCTATTCCAAGCCGGCGTTGAACAACATCGGGCCGATGACGTCACCTTGCTTTACACCCCGCTGGATGCGAAAAGCTTGCGCGCCTGACACGCTGCCCACTTGCCCAGAATACAGCCTCGCCAATAATGCAGTGTAATCTGCATCGACTCCATGGAGCCGGAGGGCGCCAAAGAGAGGCCCGTATTCGACCCGGTCGAAATTTTTGCGTAGGTCCAGACTGGCGCAACACAGCGGCACCTGCCACTCTAAGCATTTACCGCATGCCATTGCAAAGACCAAGAACGCGTCATCGACCGAGTGGTTCGGCCTGAAGCCAACCTGGTCTGGCCCTTGCGCCTGCTCGAGGACGTCATGCAGACGATGGTACAGCATTCGGGAGAATATCTTGTAAGTTGTCTTGAGTATGGCAATCGGTCTCCAGTTTTGCGGCTGAGCCAAATCCCCAGACTTAGGGAGCATTGCAAACAACGTGTCTTGCTGAGACTCTTCCACTTCTCCAGTCAACAGAATCTGGCTGTAGAAAAACAATAGCCACTCGATGAACGTGCCGGAAGCATGCTTGAACATCTCCGCAACGACGCCATCAGTGTCCGCGCCCTTCTTGTTATTCAAAGCCCGGATTGTTTTTTTCAGCTCTATCCTGGTGAACTGGGGAATGTTGGTGAACATGCGTCGGTCGGTCATCTCCGGCGGCTGCATGGCTGTAGACGAGAAGTTGTTCTCCAATAAGCCCGCCAAAGATTCAGTAGAACATCGCGCGTCAATTACATTTTTTGTCCGTTGGGTTGGGAAGAACGTTGTTGCTGCGAGCCGTTGTAGATCGCAGAACTCGCCGAGGATTTGTTCGGTGCGCCTTGTTTTTCTGCTCCGCAGCTCGGCGCGCACAACCCTGCGAATACGTTTGGAAATGTCCCGTCTGGCTGCGGACTCGTATGGCAGAGCACGACGTTGACGCAAGAGCTCTTGGAAAGCAGTCTGATTCCAGAAACAAGTTTGCTCTTCCTGCTGTTGGGCGTGCCCCGGTGCAACGGCGGCCAAGCACGCGTCCAGGTCGGACAGATTACCTGGCGGACTATCGTGCAAATATGCGTCCAAATCGTGACCGTAATCAGCATCATCACGTGGTTGCCAACCTCGATGAATCCGCTTCTGCTGGCGCTTCCGGGTACGGATTCTCATAGACAAGTGTGCAGGTACGGCCTTGTGGTCCGATCCCAAGCTTAAGAAATCAACCGCTCTACTGCCCACCACATGTAGGGAGCCAGGCACTAAGATGAAATCAATGCACCTAGTGTGTCCAAGGCTCGATCGAAAAGTCCGCGCGTCGGCGTAGTTCAGCCTGGGTGGAAAGTTTGCTAAGTGAAAGTGATGGCACGCTACAAACTCATTCAGTCTTTACACCCGTGGGCCGATATTGTACTGAGTATTCCAATCGCCACCAATAATTACTTGACTTCTTTTTCTCTGGGCCGCGCGCACCATGTTATCGAGCTGGTCGTAGAACTCAGTGAACTCATCCAGAGAGAAGCCAGCATGAGGAACATGAGTTGAAATACATGTGTATGAGCGTTTCCCCAATGCGATGTCTAATCTAATCATGCGGCCAGCCTCCGCAACCACCCTGCGAATATTCTGGACGTGGCGCTCGTGCACCAAGACGCCAACGCCCGCAGCAGCATAACCATCCAAATGTAAAAACAACTGTTGCTCACCTTCTGATGTAAGTTCTGTTGAAAGCGCCCTTGTCTCGCTGAACATTATGATATCCCAATCAACATCTGTCAACTCAGCCATCAATTCAACTATTTGCGCATTCGTTCGTAATCTCGCATTCTTGCTGTGCACATGCAAATCCCCTGTCAAGGTAGGGGGTGAAACGTGGTTTGACCTGTGCTGTCCCTATTTGGCCAATGGCTTCCCTTTGCCTTTTGTCACCAACCGCCTCTAAAGACTTCTGGCATTTTTCGCACAGCGCCGTGTAATCACCGTCGGTGTGGAGATACCCCCAAGTCTTCCACTCTTCGTTCAACCACGTAATTGCCAAGTTGTTCCCCGAACAGGCAGTAGAAAGAATCGTCTCATCACCGATCTTCAAAGTAAGAACCACATCATCAACTTTGACAGCTTTAGATTTGTACCCCCAATTGTTGAGCAGCTTCTTGACACCAAAAAGAAAAGTAGAGGGACGCGTACATGGACAGGTTGGTCTTGATTCGCCCACACCCTTTTCCAGAGCACGTGATGGATGCGGTCCGGATTTTGTGCACGATTGCCTGGAGGTCGTTCGGGTTGGCCATTTTGCCGAAAATGAGGCTTGAAAATGTGTCTCCCTTGATGAAGATGTCGACGGGTGGTGAAATGTTCGTCTTGCGAAGCTCCGTCTTGATGAACCTCTCTGCCTCCTCCAAAGAAGAGAGCCCGTCCAAACCACCGAATATTGCAGTCACAGCGTCTGTTTTTCCACTCGGCGTCCAGAGATTCTTCATCATGGTCTCCAACTCTGTCAAGCGGTCTTGCTCTGACCCCCGGGTGATCTCCGTGCCGTCCGAGCGCGGAGTGTATTGGGCCGATTTCGTTTCCAGCACCTCCACTCGTTGCGAAATGGCCTCCATGTCTTGCATGATCGGTTGGAGAGCTCCGTCAAGGTCGTCGCGAGGAACACCATGCAACTTTATGGCTGATATGTCTTGGCGTATTGGCGCCAAATGCTCCTCCAGAAGACGCGCCATAGAAGAAGACGTTCATGAATCGTTCCCCTGTTGGTGCTGTTGTTGAAGTCCAAGGGCAGCTCTTGTGATTGCGCTCGTGGTGTTCTCCCCCGTTGATGGCCCAGAACCTCCTGACCCTGAACCCCCTTGCTCCACTGTCGTCCTCAAGCCCATCCATCTCATGAAGTGGGCTGTGGACCCTGTGCTGTTTGAAACGTTGCCTCACAGGGGTACCCGGCAAAGCCATCGATGTGGTCTCGAAGGGTAAGATGTGAGGACGGACCTAAGATTGTTGAGTATTCGAATGCCCCAACGGTTGCGTTCATATGCGGCCGACCCTCCACCCATTTCAAGGATCGAGCCCTTGAGCCAAAATGGCTACGGTCGTAAAGGTCCAGAGAAGTTGAGGGGAGTGCCGGCCGCCTGCAGCAGGTGTTGGCGGCTCGAGGTCTGGGATGGCCCCCCTTTCCCCGCACGCTGCGCTTAGCCAACAAGTCCCAAAGAGTCCTCCTGCTCCTCGTCCTCTTCCTCCTCCCTGTCCTCCTCCTCTTCTTCCTCCTCTTCCTCCTCCTTGATCCCTTCGGCCTAGAAGGCCAAGGATTTGGGACGGTTGGGTCGCTTCGTGGGCCCCCCGGGAGCTTCCACGGGCTTTGCGACGGGACGCTCTTCGTTCCTCCTCGCTCCTCGTTCCTACATCCCTTTTCACAACTCCCTGTCGTGTCACGGTTGGCTCTTGGTGTCATGTTGTTGGTGTCCCATCTGTCTCTTCCAGGCCCAGGTTCTCTGCGCGAGTTTGCTTGTTGCAGGTCGGCTTGCGTGGCGTTCTGGGTTTACTTAGCGGCTCTCTGATTCATTGGCTCACGCCGCACCGCCGACCCCTTGGGGCGGCAGCAAGAGTGAAAGACGGAGTTCGCGGAACGCGCGCGATC